ACATTTCATCGTGATGAAAATCATGTCATTCTATTCCTCCAAATATCAAGACTCAGACAAATATGCTTTATGCATGTTTGCCCGTGCCAAAAAAGGTTCAAACAAAAAAAACCAACACCGTATCTAATACAAGTAGACATAATTAAAAACCGTCACAAGTTGAACATAATTAACAATATTTCACAATCAGCTTATGAAAGAAAACAAAAGATTTCAAGTTATCAACATGAACAATATAACAGGGGAGTAACGTAACGATTCAATATTGAACTAACCAATGAAGGCGAAAATACCTGCTCTCCCATGAGCAAATTGACATCTTGCACCAAAAAAACAGCTCCCGTCCCTTTCCCAGCGGTTGCAAAGCCTGGTCTTCATCCTTGTACGAAAATCCACAAACCTCTTGGGTTCCACATTATCAGAATAACTCTTATTTCTCACTTCATCCCCACCAGTCACAATGGTTATCGCAGCACTCTCTCTGTATTCACTTTTCCCTTCCTCAACATAACTTTGGTCATACCCACCCCCCTGCAAAGGGGGATATGCAGACCCACCAGTAGTATGAACGTAACGACACCTTTCACCATAAGTGCAGTAACCCCACTTTTGGAATCGTGTGCATATTGACCTGTTACCTTCCTGGGCCATTCTTGAATTCGTCTCTGTGGGTTTCTTCAATACACATTCAACATTAAAATTAGACCCACATTTTTTATCACTATACTCATCACATTTACTAGAAATTTCACTATTATTATCATCTTCCTACTGTTTGGGGTTTCAAGGGTTTTGTAAAAATCACTAAAAAAAATTCTGTATTTTTTGAAGAAAACTCAGATGATCATCATGTGTTAAACAACTCTACTGCTAAATTCTATCTGAATTATTTTTGGAGAATGTTCATAATATCTTTTCAAGTGGAATCTCAAAGATTTAAAAACCACAAAAGATTAAAAAGTTTCAATTTTTCAAAATGAGGCGATTCAGTTTTTAGAAATCAAAAGAGTGTAGTGAAGAATCATTTGCCAGTAACTCAGAATTCAGAAACCAAATGACTGAACAAGTAATTTTCTCTTTCTTTAGATGATTAAAACGACGTCGAATTGGTTAATCATTATTGGAACAAGTAAAACAATTAATCAACACTAATATAATAAATTGGAATTCTTTTGAAATAAAATAAACCTATTTTTGAGTAATGTTTTACAAGGTATTTAACTAAAAAAATCTAACAAGCAAAAGTTAATGTATGATGGTAAGATATTTCCTGGTTTGATTTGGTATCAATTTTCTTTCAATATTTAATCAAATCAACTAAATAAATTTTTTAAATGTTGAACCTAATTAAATTGTTTTTTTTCGATTTTATTAACTTAAAAAAATGAAAAAATGATTTAATTACATCAATCACTCGATAACATTATATGTTTTGTCCAAAAAATTATCCATTTCCAAAGAACACAATGAAATTTCTTACCATTAATATTTTTAGTGAAAAAAAGAGAGCAAGATCTAGTAATAATAGATCAAGATATCTTGATGATAATTGAATTAAACAATAACGAGTGATTGAGTACCCAGAAAAACAAATTATTTTGAACATAAAATAAATTCATGACATTTTAAAAATAAAACTTACAAATCAAATCAAACAAGAAAATAAAGGCAAAAAATTACATGTGCAGTGTATGTGCAATTATTATTTTTAAATAGGTATATATATATAGTCGATTTGGTTCAACTTTTTAAGGTTTTTTTCCCCTTAAAATAAAATCAAATCCAATTTATCAATTTTTTAAATTTAAAAACAAAACAAAATCAAAGTATTTCTTGTTTCAAAATTGAAAACAAACCAAAAAAAATGTTGATTTATTTATTAGGTTCGATTTGATTTTTTAATTTTTTATGAACATCTTAGATGGCCGGATAAATGAAAAAAACTAATAATAGATATCAATAGTTGTCCAATCTGACCGAAACAAGTAGAGTGAAGTCCATCCAAGAACAAATATTTCGAGTCGATAAATACATCTACCGATTAATCAAATTTCTAAAGGTTGGAGTAGATCCTAAAGAGCCAACGCTTTCTCATAAATTAATCTTGAATTGAGATCTTTCGATGTTTTCTAGAATGACGCTTTTGATAAAATAAAATCGGCATACAATCATGATTAAAATGACAGTAATGATAAAAGAAAAAATGATATAAAGAGCAAAACAAGAATTGCTTCAACTAGATCTTTAATGTACTTCATAAGTTATCATAACTAAATCTCAGCTTCAATTGGAAAAAAATAATAAAAGGAATTAATTTCCCATCACATACCTGATTTTGCCAAGAAAAAAGAACTGTTGCTCTCTACTTTTCTGCTAAGTTACACTAGTTCTGCCCTTATATATATAGTGCAAGAGCATAGATTATCATAATACTTGTTAATGAAAAAATTGTGTGGTGTCCGGGTCAAATATTTGTTCACAAATTTATTTTTTAAGCGATGCTAATAAATATTATTAAATGAAATTTCATTAAGTGTTAAGTAAGTACGTGATTAAATAATTTTAATTTTTTCTCTAAAATAAATTATAATATATATTTATGTGGTACTAGTTTTGACGCACGTGCGTTGCACGTGAAATCAAACCATGTACCACACTATTTTAAAAAATAATATGAATATTGCTAAATAAAAAAGGCATAATACATAAATGTACCATTTAACTTGGTTTTATTTCACATTTATGCCCTCAAACTTTGGGTATGCACAAGTTAGGGGGTATTATAGTAATTTAACATTCAAGTTAGGGAGTTCATGCTTTTAAGGTAGTATAGTCAGATATAGATTATTTTTATTTTTTTCTCGCAAATCTAACGTGAAGAGTCTCATTGGGATGTTCATAATTAAACTATTTTTTTTCATCAACCGTTGATTTTTACTCAAAATAGTTACAAAATTTACATAAATACTACCGATATTCAAAGTAATAAAATTATAACTAAAGGATATGAATTAAAAAATAAAGGGCATAGCTAAAATGAGTCCCATAATTTTGAAAAAAAATGTACATTAATTAAATTAAAGCAAAACAAAAAAAAATTAAAAAATCCAAAATACTCTTGCTTAAGCAGAACGTCGACGGAGAGAGGCCTACTTCAATCTCAAACTCTCTCTTATATAATAAGAGAATTTCAAAATACCTCTGCTGAAGCAAACACGTCAATGGAGAGGTGTCTATTACAGCCTCAAACTCTCTTTTATATAATAAGAGAAAATACATTATTATAAAATAATTATCAAGAAACTAAATGGACGAAATTCAGATCATATTGACCATGAATATATCACTTAAAAATCAATGTTCTATTATATTATATTATATTTTATTTATTTATAGTACATTGTAAAGTAATATCTAACACGTTTGATTTCATTATAACTATTAAATCGAGTTAAAGTAATTTATAGATGATTGAAGAGATAATTTATGAATTAGTTGACAAGAGGAAGTTGCTCGGATAGTAAGCAGTAGCACCCCTCACTTCCAATTCGAAGGTTGTGAGTTCGAGTCACCAAGAGAGCAAAAGGGTGGGAGAGGGTTAAGAAAAATAAATAAATAATTTATGAATTAGTTGAAAGAACATGAACCTCTCATGCGTGTTTAGTTGATTAACTTTTCAAATCTTTAATTTTACTTGAAAATGAAACTCAAAAAAGACAAAATAAACAAGAAAAGGGGAATGGAGATTGGTATTCACAGTATTAATTAGGATATTTGTTATCGTGCTTATTATTCTTTTCAACTACTAAATGTAAATTGAAATTTTATAGTCACTCTTATGTTAAATGTTTTGATTAAGAGATCAACCTTTTAGATGTCACATTATTTAATATCATAATTATTATACTTGTAATTTAATTATGACTCGGTATTTTATTGATAATTGAGGAAGGAGGTGCTAACAATGAGAGTATTTTAAAAGTGTTGTATAATAGTGGGTAAATAAAATCTTTTTGTATAATATAAAAGAATAAATTTGACCTCTTTCCCCGTGGTATAATAGAATTTCAATTTGCTCTGGAAGAAAAAAAAATTTTTGACCACATTATCATTAGGATTAGTGAAGATTGAAGTAAAACCTAACTTTCTTTACTCATCTTTATTTTTGTTGAAATTTTTAATTTTTATAATTAATACAAGAGATCTTTAGACACGTTATCTAGGAATATAAATTCATCAAAAATAAAATCGAACACAAAATTGAAATGATCTATTTTTGTTGCTATTATTTTCTGAAATGGTTTTCCTCAACTAACTATGATTTAGTAGTAATAGCAGTTGATGTTGTTTGTAATTGTGTTCGATCAAAGTCCCTCCATCACTGAGTAATACATACTTCAATAGAAAGAATTTCTCCAATCATCAAAGATTTTGAGTTAGTGCTATATGAACAAAAAAAAATTATGGTATAAAGTTAGATTAGTTCGTCAGTAAATTTTGAACAAAAGATAATTTGAAAAAAGGATCAAATATATCTTCCAAACTATTCAAAATTTGTATAGGTCCCATTTACTTTAAGCTTCGACATGTTTTTGGTTCAAAAATGCCTTTAAAATATCAAAAATACCCTTCTTACCAATTATTACTCAAATTTTTTACCTTTAAACTATTCGTAATTGATAATTAAATATTCTTAATAATGTTTAGGGCGGAGGATCCAATTAAGTTTAATGAGTCAGAGCAAAACAACCTTTTAAAAAATTTCACCATCAAGGTATATATATAATGAGAACAAAATACTGTTAATGCATAATCTAAGCACAAAATGAATTAAACAAAATCCGCAGATGAATCAACATCATGTATCAATAAACTCGGTCCATCTATTGAACCTTATTTTATAGCAGGGAAAGAAGGGAGATGACACCTCCTCTACAAATTCCCCAACCAAAAAAACAACAAATTACAAAATATGGATTATGGATTATGAAACGAATGAATAAAAAATATGGTATGAATTCTGGAAACAGAATTTAAATGCCGGTATTAGGATTGTGTGGGTTGATTGGATAATTTGTATTGCCTGGGAGGGTTGTGGTACTGGTTGGGAAGTCATCATCGAAGTTGATAGTGCCTGGCTGGTTAAGATAGTTGTCACTAGAAGTGTTGTGTGGAGGATTCATTCCGAGAGTATTTTTGACCGCATCAGCTGCGCCTTGTGCCATGTTTGCTGCACCAGTTGCTGCTCCTCGAGCTATGTTCACTGCACTTCCTGCTGCTCCTTGAGCCATGTTCTTCACTTGTGTCCCCGTCTGAAAACAATAATAAAATTCACAATGTATTCGATTTTTCAATTTAATTGAAATGGTGGTTACCTCTTGAAGCAAGTTTGTTGCTTGGCTTTGGTTATGGATGTCAGATGGTTGGTTCAATAAATCTTCCCTTCTCATCTACAATTGATTAGAAACATGAAATAAATAAAAAAAATGAGAATTCGGACGAATTAGCTCAAATGAACTCAACTTTTATATGACCGAGGTTGACACGGGGTGGAACTAATTATTAAATCAACAAGTATTAAATGAGTTAGATAAATTGTATTTTTATGGTTGAATTTTGACATCCCCAAAGTAGTATCAAGAAGAAAGAAGAGTGTAATGAAACCTGAGCTTGGCCGGGCACTTGGATACTGCTATGAAAGTTGTCGCTTCCTCGATTTGCCATGTTAATTGGTTTTTGTTGCTTCGTTTTGTTTATTATGTGTTTAAATCTATTGTAGATCAAAATGCAAAATATGGAATCGATTTTGAAATTATTGGATTAGTGAATTTATAAGCACAATTTGTGATCTCAATTCATGCATATTCTAACACATGGCACAGTGCTGGCGGATGATTTTGATCGGACAACAACTTCTCTAAGGAAATTTCACATCCGTTTATTTTGAGCAAAATTATTAGTAATTTAATAGTAGTAAGAAATATTTACTGGCCAATGTCTAATTCTCGTAATTAGGAACTGATTAGCCAATAATTTCTCATAAGCTTACTTTTAACTTGTCCTTTCTCTAATTCTCTGATCATTTATGTTTTATTGGGTAACTCTTATGTACAGTTAAAATAAAAAAAAAGTCAGTGCTGAGTCGCAGAGAAGTAACAATAATTAATCTCTAGTATATGGTAGCAGCAGGAAGTTTATTGATCCTTGCGAAATGTGGCAAAGATAAGTTTGACTTCAGAACGGAAGGTAACAACAGCACGGCACGTGTCCTATACACGCGTCAGATAACAGAATACGTGTCAACAATGTATCGCACTACCAACTCTTTATAAACCATGCACAACCTCTTTGCTTCTCATCACTACTACAATCTGCTTATAACAATCTTCCCATATATACTTATACTATTGCTCTTCTGCTTTTTGCTTAATTTTGTGCACATCTATTTCAGTTTGTTACTTCAACACTGCAACAATGTCCCACGAGCAGAGCTACAGAGCTGGTGAAACCAAGGGCCAAACCCAGGTACATCTACTTTTTTTTTTTTTTTGTTGTCTTAATTTATGTGTATTTTTTTGTTTTAATTTATGTGACATCGTTTGAGTATAGGCGAAGGTTGGTCAAACACTGGAAAGCATGAAAGACAAGGCCCAAGCAGCCAAGGACAAAACTTCGGAGACGGCTCATTCTGCTAAAGGAACGGCACATGATAAGACAAGTGGAGCAGCTCAGGCAACCCATGATAAGACGAGCGGAGCAGCTCAAGCTACTAAGGATAAGGCAGCTGGAGCGGCTCAGGCAACCAAAGATAAGACAAGTGGAACAGCTCAGGCTACGAAGGAGAAGGCTAGTGGAGCAGCTCAGGCTACTAAAGAGAAGGCTTCAGAAATGATGGAATCGGCTAAAGAAACGGCTCAAGCTGGTGAAGAGAAAGCTGGGGGAATCCTCCAGCAGACTGGACAACAAGTGAAGAGCATGGCTCAAGGTGCTGCTGATGCTGTGAAGCACACTTTTGGTATGGCTGATACTGAAGAAGATCCTGATGTTACAAAAGACAAAACTTTGAATCACTAAACTAGCCTAGTCTAGTGGTTTTTTTAAAACTTGGATCTCTTTAATTTCTTTCTTGATGGATTCAAGTAGTCAAGTATCTTGTGTGTTTAGCAGCGGCTTGTTTGTTTCTTTGAAGTTTCCCCCCTTTTGAGGGGGATATAATAAAACATTTGCACTTCTTTGTACGTAGGCTGAACCTTCAATATCAAGCGGGGTTTTGATTTTTAAAGAATGCTTGGGATAGCAGTACTGTTTAAACGGGATTTTGATTTTTAAAGCCAATTGGAGGGGTAAGCAAATGAAATTCTATTCAAAATTTCAACCCTTTTGTAACTAAAAATTTCATTCAACTATCTTCTTAAAATCTACCTATTCATGACTTAGCTGTAATAGTTTAATTCTCTTGCAACCTCGATTATTTTACGTTTTTTTGTTAATCAACTCAACTTTGTAAAGAGTTGCTTATCTAAAAGGTCTTAGATCTCATAATCCCAACTAATACTTAGCTTAACGTCACTTGGGCTCCAACCAGCGAAACTTGGGCTCTCAGTTGAACTGAGAATGCAATAAAACATGATCGAATCTTAGTACAAGCTCGACACAGAAGTTAGATTGTAGCAAAACCCCATCTCAAATTAGATATTTTAGCAGTTTAATACTCGAACTCATCTCTTTCCGATATTGCAAGCTTTAATCGGAACTTTAACTCAACTCGAATCATTTCATTTGTGCCTTGAAACAAAATTTTGTAGCTGTTGCCCATCTCTAAAAGAATAAAATACAAAAGTAGCTTACAGAAGGAAACAAAAAATTTGCGACTCTAACTTTATCTTTGATGCACACTCATGACAATACATGGTAGGCAGATAAATAATTTTAGCCCTCTGGAGACTCAAAAAATCAGATGATATTTTGATTCTTCTTAAAACAAAGTCATCACGTCACAAAGCTTTCTTCCGTTTGTATCTTCTATCGAGTCGGTATGTGTTGATATCTGAGTCATGACGTCTATTTGGATCCGTTGGCCATTTCCAAGATAGTGCATTTGTCCGACATATGTATTGCATTCCCACAAAACTGGCTGAATTCTTGTTTGGAACTCACTCGCTCATGCCATCACTTCCTTCGTGATCACTAATGTCGCTGAAAGCCTCGGGTTCCTCAATATCTGGGATGCTTTCTGTTTCCATAGTAACTTCAGAACCCTCCTCGTCACTGTCATCGTTATCTTCATATATGATGGGCTGTATGGCACCATCTTCATCATCACCATCATCAATAGTCTGCGAAAACATAAATGAATTTGTCAAGATTCAGTCCAGGAGAGAGTGAGAGGGGGGACGTAATTGAGAGATTCACATTCCGCATTGTCCTTACCCCTGCATAAAGCAATTCTAAGGAGCTTGATAACTGAAGAGCTTGGGGGAGAGTTGAAAGTCTCGCATCAATAAGCTGCACAAAGACCAACAAAGTAGCTTTAAATACATTCTACCAGTTGCTATAGGTACTCTATCAACATACTTAAGAGTTACTACCCTAACCTGATATAAAGAGTTGAGTGCAAGTAAAGAGGATTCTTGAGACATTATTCCACTGGCGTGTTGGAGAAGCAAACTTCGCAGCCAAGGAAGCGCACAAGCCAATACAGCACCCCTGTCAAGAAAAAGTACCATAATTAACATTAACTCGACCAATCTATGACAACAGGAACTTGCGAGAAGGCAACTGCACGTTGCAGATGTGGATGGCAGAAAGGTTTTCACTATATTGATAGCATTGGACAATATATTAAACAGCAAATGACAGTTTGAGCCACGTAATGAGTCTCATAGTTAGTATTCACCCCTTAGGTGCAATGTAACTTGATATTCTTAAGGTGGTCAAATGAAATTTAGACAAAATACCATAAAAGGAACATCCAGGTTAGGAAATCCACAAATCTCCTTTACCTTGACTGGATAATTGACAAGAGTGACTGTAAAAGCTTGAGAACGTCTGAAGGATTTAAAAGAGAGACTGAATTTTCAATGACCTGGAGAGTCAAGATACATCCCACTGATTAGGAAATAAAACATCAATCAGATGCTAGAACCCTGAAAATAATTCAGTTGAAATATAACCTTCTCATCTTGTCTGTATAAGCAATCTATCAAAAGTGCTCGATCATCAGCATGAAGTGCTTGCTTCAGCAATACATGAACTGAATCAGCACTTGGAGGCTTCGTTTGAAGAGCAGATTCTAGATTCTTGTTGCTTTTATCTTCATTATTGTCTTCCAAATGGAGCATTGTGAGTTTCTCGCCCATGGTTGGCTCGCTAAAATCATCAATCTGAACTCCGTCAATAGGTTCACCATTACCTACACATCATCAGACAAAAAGGTTATTCTCTATAAGGTAGTGAATGCTTTTCAAGTCTCTAATATCAAATGACCCCTTGTCGTAATGCTCAATACACAGAAACATCATAAAGATGACACATAAAGGTCCACATAACCTACCTCCCAGACCAAGGGAAGAAGGTATCAGATCGCTTTTGAGAGCCCTTTTGTGAAACCAGTTCCTCTACTCTTTTTGAATGAATTACAGTCAGTAAAGTAATCTGGTGGAAGGGGTCCATAGAAAAAAAATGGCTTCTTTTTCTTTTTTCTTTTTTCTATTTCTCGTTTTAGAATAGAGAAAGAGTTGAAACTAAGGGTACGCTCTCTAGAAGATTTGCTCGGAGCTTTTTGGTCGCCTGCTATCTTGAAACCTCTTTGCTTGCGGGGGCAGGAGTGGAAAGAGCGCTTCGCGAAAGAATCGTGTGGCGCGGTGAAAGGTTTCCCGTTGAGGTTTCCGACCCTCCAAGTCTCCACCTACTTGTGGAATAGGGGGGGTTCCTTGATATTAAGGTGTCAAGGCGGTCGAAGAAGGCCACAGGTGGAAGCAACCGATGACCCACTAAAGGACAAAAATAAATGACCCCTTCCGAAGGAGATGAACAGGTTGTCTACTGAATACCAACTGACCAACAGACTGATCAGGTACCAAACAACTCCTGAGGTCTATTCTACTGGAAGCAGTCTGCTTGTAAATAATAGCCCTCATAACACAATGTCCATCTAGGAAGCCCTAAAATGTCAAGACATCCATGATAATAATTATATCCAATTGCAAGAGGGAGTATGCTATTCCCAGACTTAAACTCTCCCTTTTACTACTTAACACTAGGCTTGACGATTAAGTTTTTTGTAAAGGGATATCGGTAAATGGACCGGTACAGATTCTCTATATACTGAATTTTACTTTATTCTTAGTAGTTCTCCAATACATAAAGATAAGTCTTTTTTTTTTTGATGAAGAATACATAAAGATAAGTCATCTGTGGTGGAGAACTGGAGATCACTAAAAAGCAAATTGCCTTGAAGAGCAATAGGTCTGGGGAGCCACCTAAAATACATATGTTGGAACTCAATATGAGCAATGCAAAATATCATGCGACATATCATACCATTATCCGTAATAGTCGCTTCACCAGTGACATCCAGATCAGATGCTGGTCGTTTGTTTGTCACTTTGCTTCTCTGGATTAAGTTAGCACCTTCAACTTCCATAGCTCCACCTGAAACAGAGGGAGGGAGGAGGAGTCAGAAAGATTACAAGGACAACTCTATTCTTGAAACTGTTCACATCATAAATTAAAAAATGTCAATTTATC